GTGGGGTAAAGGAATGATGAACTGTGTACATGGTACAGTTGTAAAATAAAGGTAGCAAATATACATAACTGGAACTGTAAGGTAAGGTTGAGTTTTACAAGTTTTATATGAAAATCAAGTTCATCATCTTATAGTTGTATTTCTACACAAGTTATATGTTAATATAATAAAATTTTTATACAGAAATTCAGCTGTGAAATAATAAAGCTGTTTTCCATATAAAACTTAATCAGAATCAACCTTATTTTTTATCTATCTATCTATCTTTTGTCTATCTTGTGGTTGGTTACATGATACCAAGGAAATATTCCAAATAAGAAATGTATTTATTCAAAGTGTCAAGGGTACTAACCCATTAAAACATCTTGGGGGAAGGGTGGCAGATAAGGGAAACATGGGGGGGGAACAAAGATGAATTTAAGAGAATTGACATAACCTGTATCATGAGGAGGTTAAACAATGAGCTCTCTTCCTAGGAGTTTACTTTTCATTAAATAAGGATTGAATGTTTTCTATATTTTATTTCCAGAAGTGAAGTGATAGCATTTTAAGACAATTTTTTACAGTTTAAATTATTTCTAATATCCTTATTCTTCATCCGTTTCAAAGTCTACCCTTTTAGTCTCCTTCAAAAGATAGCATTTGGCATTAAGTGTTTCATACTATTGGCAAGAAAACAGTTTTATCTAAAATAATAAGAATTTGTACAAAACTATTTACTTGTAGTGATAGTTTCTGCTGAAACATTGTCACCAAGCTGGGCCCTTCATTTAAACAACTCTCATATATAGGGAATGAGTCTTTGTTGATGTACATATGTTTTGATTTATTATCATTAATTTAAAAGAGAAAAAATTGTGTCATTAATGATAATTTTTTATCTCTCTAATATAGCTAATAATGCTCTCCATTTGTTTCTCATGGACGCTTTTCTTATGACTAAAGACCAGACTTTAGCATTATTTTATCAAGATTAACTTTCTGAAGTTTGGAGGAGTGAACAAAACTTAGTTCATTCTCTCAGTGTGACATATGTGGTCCTGTAGAGACCAGTTAAACCTGTTCTGGTTTGGGAATAGTGAGCTATGAGGAGAGATTTAGAGCCCAGGTGAACTTATGATAGATAGGGGGCTCATGTGCCTTAATAAAACGAGAACATTGGAAGTCTTTGAAATCTCTGTCTCTGTTCATGTGCCTTGTGGAAAATGATGTTGGCACGATGATAGCCTCTAAATACACTACCTAGCAAGCTATCACGGAACATAGAGGCTTACAAACCAAATGAGGATTAAATCATTTTGAAATACACAGGGATGAACAAGGAGAAAGTTGTGGGGCAGATTAATGCTAGTATGGTAGGGTAGAAACAAAAAATAATAAGAAAAAATATAGTCAGTGTAGAGCAAGAGGGGTATACTAAAAGAAGAAAGAAAAATAAAAGAAAAACAAACAAAAAATGGATAGGGTGCCATTGGAGTAGAAAGACCACACAGCTTGGGGATATCCCGTTTTTCTAGTACCATTTGGTTGGTTGGTTGGTTGGTTTGTTTTTGAGACAGAGCCTCAAGCTATCCCCATGGGTAGAGTGCTGTGGCATCACAACTCAGAGCAACCTCCAACTCCTGGGCTTAAGCGAGTCTTCTGCCTCAGCCTCCCAAGTAGCTGGGACCACAGGCACCTGCCACAGTGCCCAGCTATTTTTTGCTTGCTGTCATTGTTCTTTTGGCGGGCCCGGGCTGGATTCGAACCTGCCACCTTAGGTGTATGTGGCTGGTGCCTTAGCTACTTGAGCCACAGGTGCTGAGCCCTAGCACCATTTGTTAAAAAGATTGTTTTTATGACAATACTACACTGTTTTGATCATTACAGCTTTGTAGTAATTTTTGAAATCAGGAAGGGAGTCCTTCAACTTTGTTCTTTTTCAAGATTATTTTGGCTATTTCAGGTCCCTTGAAATTCCATATGAATTTTAGGATGGATTTTTCTATTTTTACAGAAACACTGGGATTTGGCAAAGATTCCATTGATTCTGTAGATCACTTTGTATAGTATTAACATCTTAACAATATTAAGTCTTCTAATCTATGTACAAGAGATACTTTTTCATTTACTTCATTTACATCTTTTTAAATTTCTTTAAGTAATATTTTATAGTTTTATCTTACAGTCTTTCACCTTCTTGGTTAAATTCCTAAATATTTTGTTCTTTTGACTCTGTTGTAGATAGAATTGTTTTCTTTTCTTTTTTTTTTTAGAGACAGAGTCTCAAGCTGTCTCCCTACGTAGAGTGCTGTGGCATCACAGCTCACAGCAACCTCAAACTCTTGGGCTTAAGCAATTCTATCGCCTTAGCCTCCCAGGTAGCTGGGACTACAGGCACCCGCCAGAAGCCCGGCTATTTTTTGGTTACAGTTGTCATTGTTGTTTGGTGGGCCTGGGCTGGATTCGAACCCGCCAGCTCTGGTGTATGTGGCTGGTGCCCTAGCCACTTGAGCTACAGGTGTCCAGCTAGGAATTGTTTTCTTAATTTCTTTTTTGGATTTTTCATTGTTAGTATATAAAAATGCAACTAATTTTTGAGTGATTCTGTATCTGCCTCTTTGCTGACTTTATTAGTTTTAATAGTTTTAATTTTTGGTGGACTCTTTAGGGTTATCTCTATAACCCTGGATTATCTCTATAAAGAGCATATCATTTGTGAATAAAGATAATTTTATTCTTCCTTTCTTATCTGGATGCTTTAACATTTTTTCCTTGTCTCATTGCTCTGGCTAGAATTTCCAAAGCTATTTTAAATAGAAGTGGTGAAAATGAGTATATTTGTCTTGTTCCTGACTTCGAAGAAGCTTTCTGTCTTTTTCACCATTGAATATGATGTTCACATTGGGCATTTCATATATGGCTTCTGTTATGTTGAAGTAGACTCCTATCCCTACCTTCAGTGTTTTTATTACAAAAGCATTTAGAATTTTGTGAAAATTTTTTCCTCAACCAATAGATGATCATATCGTTTTTTCACCCATTTTGTTAGTGTGCTCTATTGCACTGATTAATTTTCATATGTTGAATCATTTTTGCATTCCAGGAATAAATTCCACTTTGGATAGTGTTTACTCTTTTAATATGTTAACAAAATTTATTTGGTAGCATTTTGTTGAGGATTTTTACAATAGTGTCATAAAGGACATTGGTCTGTAGTTTTCATCTAGGGTCTTTGGCTGGCTTTGGTATAAGAGCAGTACTTTCTTTATAGAGTTAGGAAGTTTTCTCTACTTCTCAATTGTTTAGAAGAGTTAAAGGATGATTGGTGTTGGTTCTCCCTTAAATATATGGTAGAATTCATCAGTGAAGCTATTAGGTCCAGAATTTTTGTCAGGAGGGGTTTTTTGTTGTTGTTTTTTAAGTTACAGATGCAATCTCTTCACTAGTTACAGGTCTATTCAGATTTCCTGTTTCTTCATGATTCAATCTTGGTAGGTTTTCTGTTCCCAAGAATTCGTTCATTTTATCTGGGTTATCCAATTACTTGGAATGGTACTCTCATAGTATTCTCCTATAATCATTTTTTATTTCTGTAGAATGGGTAGTAATGTCCCAACTTTCATTTCTGACTTTAGTAATTTGAGTCTTTTTAAAATAGTCAATTGAGGTTTATTAATTTTTATTAGTCTGCTCCAAAAACTAACCTTTGGGCTCTGTGCCTGTGGCTCAAGTGGCTAAGGTGCCAGCCACATACACCTGAGCTGGCCGGTTCGAATCCAGCCCGGGTGCCAAACAACAATGATGGCTGCAACCAAAAAATAGCTGGGCGTTGTGAGGGGCACCAGTGGTCCCAGCTACTTGGGAGGCCGAGGCAGGAGAATTGCTTGAGCACAGGAGTTGGAGGTTGCTTTGAGCTGTGATGGCAAGGCACTTTACCTAGGGCGACATCTAGAGGCTCTATCTCAAAAAAAAAAAAAAAAAAAAGAAACAAAAAACCTAACCTTTGGTTTTGTTGACTTTCTCTTTTGTTCTTCTATTTTGTTTATCTGTTTTAACCTTTATTATTTTCTTTCTCTGCTAGCTTTGGGTTTGTCACTGAATATTTAAAGTGTTAATAAAGAGTGTATGTTATTTTATAAATGTTTATATTTCCACAACTTTTTTGATACAATTGGTTTCCTTTGTGATCTCATATTTTAAATCACTTGAAAACATTTAGGAGACATAGGCTTCATCAGACTATTAAAGGGCCCATGGCACAAAAAACGTTAAGAGCCTTACTCCTGTCTAGAACACTTCCTCCCAATCTCCAATCTTCACCAACTATCCTGCTATTTTCCCTTTAGATCGCTGGGTGTTAGACACGAGTGTCCTTGTTATTCCTTGAAAAACAAACAATTTTTCTATCTATGGTCTTTACACTTGCTGTTTCTTCTGCTCCCTTGTTCACTGGGTCAGGTTTTCTCATCTAGATATATTTTTCATCTTCACTTTATTCTGATGCAAAGGGGCTCAGTATTTTGGGTAGTGAAACAAAATTGAGAGACGTGGGAAAGATGCAGAACAAGTACATTGTGTCCCATGGATAGGAAAGCTTTTTACAGCATTTCAATTTAAACCAAACATCATGTACCTAGTGAATTACTATTTGGATTTCTCTTTGACATAAACAGGCGGAGAATGTAAACTAACATCAGAGACCCCAGATTCCCACAATAATTTAATTCTAAATACAATTTTAGAGGGTCAAAAAAGTGGAGAAATTTGCTCTGGGGTCGCGGGAGAACAAAGCTCTCGGAATTTCGACACAAAGTGTCTCAGGTTAGCCAAGCCAACTCGGAACATCCTCAAGTAGCGTTTTGCCAAGTAGGGATGCTGAACTGGAAGGGAGATAACAAAAAGTTCGCAGGCCAATTAGCCATTCTTAATCGTGGTTTCTTCTGCTTCCGCCATAATCGTTCACCGACCCGACCCCGGCATCCGTTGTAACAAAAGGTAAACAGGTAGCAACGTCAGACAGCTGACTTGGAAAGCAGTTTGCTATTGTGGATCTGATGCTTTTCTGAGAAAGAGAGGAGTCGGGACGAGCGGTAACGAACACAGAAACGCAATTCACAAAACCGCGCGCCAGCTCCCGAGCACTTTGCAGCAGTTATCTCGCGAGACGACGGGTCCTCGGAGGGCACACGCTCAGTGCCCAGGTTTTGCTTTAGAACTCCAGGGTGCGGAAGGAGTTTGTGGTACAGCCTCTAATCGCTCCGAAATCAACCTCCATTCCATACGGAAAGCTAGTCCTTGGGCCGCTATGGAAGGACAGCAGGGGCAAGAAAGCTGCGCAACGCTAGCACTTGCCCAGGCTCACTTCAAGAAGGGCGAGTACGGCGAGGCGGAGGCGCTGTACTCCGCTTACATTCGGCAGTGCGCCTGTGCGGTCTCTGTCCGCGCGAGTCCCGGGAGGTAACTATCGCGAGAAGTCGGGGCGGCGGCGTCTCTCCGGGTGTACGGGTGGCTGGGGTCTCCTGGGTCCCTTGGTGGGCCTGCTGATTTTACCAGTGGCGCAATGTCTTGACCCAGCACGAGGATGTTCGTCTTCCTAGAGGGGCCAAAGGCCTAGGGCAGAGTGGCAGAGAGCGCGGGGTTGGGGCCGTGTGCGGGGACGATGCAAGGAGTTTCCGAAGTGGAGCCCTCTCCCAGTCCTCCGATGCGGCCGCTGCCTCTCTCCCGTATGTCCAGCCCGCAGCGCTGCTCCTTCCCTAATCCAGAGACTTGCAGGGGACCGGGCTTTGCCCCTTTTTGGTGTAACGGGCGAGGTGTCCGAGACCTGGGGAAGGGCAGGAGACGCTGCTGGGTGGTGCCGCGCTAGAGCGCGGGAGGCCGCTCCGACCAAGACCTCGCAGCAAGGGCCTGGTTTTGTTTTTTCACTTGTTATGAAAAACATTTAAGCGTTTGGAAACGAGTCTAATGAACATCGGCTTAAGTATGACCAGTTCACCCAGACCTAGTATTCATCCATGGATGTTTCAGAATACGTTGCTAAATGTTAAGGACACTTAAAAGACAATCACACTACCAATATTATCACATAATTTCTTAACTAGTCAGTATTTTAAATAGTCAGTAGTTGGTTCAAATCAGGATACACACCAGGTCTCTCTTAATCTCTTAAGGGCCTTCCTCCTCTCCTGATTGCATTTCTCTGCTGTCATTTAATATGGTCATCTTTCATATTGCTTGTGAATTGGTAGTTAAATCTTGAGATTTGATATAATTCAGATTCAGTATATGCAAGAATACTTCATGGTGGGCGGGGGGGTTGTGTTTCTAGCAGGAAGCCTGCAATGTCTGATTATCCTTTGGTGATTAGCAGGATGCCTGCTAATATTTGCTTGTCCAAGGCATCTTTGTGGTGTAGCATTTGTTGTTACTTCAGGTTTTACCTTTGTTGTGCTTGTTGCTGGTGTGAAGTGGACCAGGATGAGAAAAGAAAGAGTTGTTTGCGCCAGCACCTCCCTCTCTCCTCAAAGATTCGTTTTTTTCACGACAGGATGCTAGTTTTTCTTTTATATTGAGGCTCAACCAAAACCAAGGACTTGATTCTTATCCTGTTTGTTAAAACTCAGGTGGAGTTAAGCCAGAAAGATAAAATTGTTTCTCATTTCAGGAATACATTAGAATATAATAATAGAAGTTTCTGAACAGGTGGTAAGGTGGTACCACCCTCCCTGCCTCATTGGACCCCTCCTAAGAGTAAAGATTAGTAAACATAGGAAACTTAGTTTCCTATCCTTGTTTCAAGCACTAAGAATAGACTTATATACTAGGTTTCAAAAAATACTCATCAGGAATAGGTAAATTGCTGCTGTCTAGTCTTGTTATTCTTCCTCCTCTATACGTCTCAGCCTGAGAACAAATTTAATACTAGCTTTTGACTAGTATAGGAATTAAAATTTGCTGTGGCTTAGCAGTAGGGAGGTCAGCACGCCTGAGTTCCGGTCTTGGCTCTGCCACATGACTAGCACCTTGTCTCATCCTCAGTTTCTCATCTGTAAAAAGAGCCTTCAATTTCCTTACACTTCTCCTACGAACTCATGGGCTGAATTCAACTGCATTCTGTCATTTCAAATTTTTCCCTTAAATTTATCTTTTGGTGTTTACATGTGTTTTAAAAATACTGAGTCACTGAATCATTTTGAGATGGTATTTGCAATCTTTGAATTTCTTTCTGTCTGAATATCCAAAGGCATAGCCTGAGCAGACCTAATTTTCCAATTTTTTTTTTTTTTTGTTAAAGTTAGCAAATGCTAAAAATCCACATTTGGATTGAGTAATTTTGGTTTATTTCCATTATAAGAAATGCTATCATTAAAACAATATTACAACAAAATTCAGCTTCAACTGTTAGCCCATTTTAAAATATGAAACAAATTTCTATGAAAAGAAGGCTTGTAGAATTTGTTGTAATGAGATCTAATTTTAAATCTGATATTTTATGATCCTCTGAATATATTAAGAATTAATATATCAGTTAATACATAGTTAATATTAAGAACTTATATATACATAAATAAATACATAGTTAATATTAAGAATTAATATATCAATTAATACATAGTTAATATTAAGAATTTATAACAGTTTTGAAGCTTCAAATTGAATGCCTGAAACCTTGGCATCTTCAGGCTGCATTTTTCTTCAGACTCTACTGGACAGCAGTTTGACTAGTGTCAACAGAGATAGATGAAGGGCATGTGTCCTCTCTAACCTAGCTTTTAACAAGAGGTGCTAGTGGCATCCAGAAGCATCATGTACCCAGTCATTCTCAGTCATAGCTCTCAGAGGGAAATTTTCCAAAATTGCAACAGTTCCTCTCCATTATTAGCAACCTTAGAGTGAAGGAGGGAGGCTCCTGGGCTGTGAGGACTTATGGTAGCAGTACTTACAGTCTGTGTCTGAAATTGCAAGGCTTAAGATGTTAAGTGAAGTAGCTTTTAGTAACATTGACTGTAGTCACATGTATTTTCTGAGAACTATACTTTGTACTGAGGAGTTAAATAAAGAAATTAACATATAAATTTAACTTGCATCCTCTCTGGTGCAAATTTGAGAATCACTTTAAGAAAAAGCAAGGGAAACAAAATCATCGCTGACACATTCCTGTCATTTTCTGTGCAGATGGTTTGTCCTGTGCAGAGAAAGGTTCAGGACAGCAAGAGACTGTGACTTATTGAGCTGGTCAGAGCTGGCTGGGAGTCCAGTCCTTTACAGGAAAGGCTGCCAATTTAAAGCTTTTTGGGTATCCCCTAGCACACCCAGGTGCAGAGCCAGTTCTGCCTATAGGACCTCCAAAGTGGACTAGGCAGCTAACGGGGCTAAAAGAGCCCACCCTCCTCAAAAGAAGCCAGCCTGGCATTGGGAGGATCTCAATGAAGGCTGAAGAGAGGGCATCTCTATCGCTCTATCCCCAAAGATCACTCCTTGGATCAATGTGTTGCATTTTCACAAAGGGGTTAATTTTACTTCTTATCGGTAGAAAATGATTTCAAATCTCATTGTTGCAAGGTTACTTAAAAGTTTGAGAATAACATTGACTCACACTGTGACACGTCCATAACAAACTTGAACTTTGGGCTGGCTTTCCCTTTGGTTGGCATGTGTCCGATCTGTCTTTGCCTGCTGCGTGTGCTTAGAAAAAGAACAATCCTCTCAGCCGAACAAGTTGGCAGTGAACAGGGGCTTTGAACGTGCAAATTAATGTGCTTTTCAGATTGATATTGTAGGGATAGAGCGCTGCAAAAATAAGGAAAGGTTGAACAAAAATCAATTCCAGTTCTTTGTTTATTTGTACCTTGTTTCTTCAGCTTGGTTTTTCAGCGTAGGTACTGCATGTTACAGCCTATGAAGTCTGACAATACCCAAAAGAGAAGGAAGGTGGAAAGGCGAGGAATTTGGTAACTCGGTGTTTTTAATGTGAACTTTTTGTTTAAAGCAAATGCAGCCCTGAGGATTTGGCTACTGCATATAACAACAGGGGGCAAATCAAGTACTTCAGGGTTGATTTTTATGAAGCCATGGATGACTACACATCTGCCATAGAAGTCCAACCCACTTTTGAAGTTCCGTATTACAACAGAGGGTTGATCTTGTATAGACTGGGTAAGAATTTTGTTTGTGTTGCTTTTGTCATTGACCAAGTTCTATTATTTCAGAACTCGGAAATGTTGTAAAAGTCATGTAGCGATCAAGTTTTAAAGTTATGCGAAATTTAGGTTTAGAGCTTGGAACAAAGGAAGCATCCCTGAGTTTATTTTAGGCGTTCCACAGGCATTTTAGATCGCAGCAGAGCACTGGGGTGGGAATTGGACCTGGGCGCAGGAGTGGGGGTGACCCCATTCCTTTGTGCCTGTTCATGCTCAGCTGTGAAATGAGGGTAATGCTGATGGTCGCCTGTAAAAACTTATCTGCGTTAAACTCTTTGAAGACACACAAAACAATAGAAAGTGAAGTTTAAAAGACCCCTGGGTTAGAGGCATTAATATAGGCAGTGTTTCTCATTTCGAGTGTTAAAAAGGAAGTTTTTTAACTGTTTCTTAATTTTATTGCAGTTATGTAACGAAGGTGATATATTAGTAGTTTTGTCAAATTTTTATGATTTATGCTATTTATTTGTTAAATCTCAGTAAATAAGCCCACAGCTCATTTTATGTGTATTATTCCATAAGGGCACATGAAATTACTTTGATAGACACATCCCTGTATCATCGTCAGGAGAAATTCCTTTATTAGGAACGGTTGGAAGCTCATTCATATAAAAGCAAAAGTATGTATATCCAAACTTTGCTGTGAATAATGTATAGAAATACTTAGCTTTTTCCCTCATTTTCATTTTTGGGGTTCTGGTGCAGGATATTTTGATGATGCTTTGGAAGATTTCAAGAAGGTATTAGACTTGAATCCTGGATTTCACGATGCTACTTTGAGCTTGAAACAGACTATTCTAGACAAAGAAGAAAAACAAAGAAGAAATATTGAAAAAAATGACCCGAAATGTTAAACTTAATTAAAATGCTAATTCATGATCCTTACACCTTCATCTAGTTGTGTAATTTAAAATAAATACTGAGCTATTTTTGATTTACATTTAAGATAAAGAGATTCATATATTAGCACTGAAATTTAAATAATGCACTTAAGGTAGTTAATTCTAGGTTGAATAAGTGTTTTTTTATGAAGTGTAAATAAATAATACCCCTGTATAAGTGTATATGATTATAGTAAAATACTTAAAGAAACATGGTATTTTATTCAGTAAAATTATATTTTTTGCTATTTCTTGTTTCTAGTTTTTTATTTAAAGACTTTACATCTACAAAAAATTTGAAAGTGTAATAATTATCTGTAAACTCTTCACTTAGATTTATCAGATGTTAACATTGTGCTACATTTGCTTTTTCTCTGTATTTAAATGTGTAACTTTTTGCTGAACTATTTGAAAATAAGGTGCGGGGATTGCAATACCTCACCCCTAAAGCTCTCAGCCCACATCTTTTAAGATTGAAGACAACCTGTCCTTTATAACCACAATACCATTAAAAGACCTAATAAAATTATTAAACAATTTTATAATGTCATTCATGCCCAGCTCATATTTAGATTTCCCCAGTTATTTCTAAAAATGTATAGATTTTAATTTCTAGATCTACATCTGCCAATCATGTTTCATTGCAGTTAGTGATGTCTCTCTGAATTCTTTTAATCTGCTATAGTCTCCTGCCCATTTTCTCCCCATAGCATTTGCTTGTGAGTAAAGCTGTTTTATAAAGCTAGGTTAGAGCGATGTAACATGTGGGCTTAAAAATATACACATGTCCTATGGGAGAGCTGAAAGAATCTAACTGACACTTGATTTTCTCTAGAAATTATTGAGAAGATTGTTAAGGGTTTAAATATTGAACAGTTTTCTGTCTCTGCACATTTACTGAATATATACTTTAAGCGCTATTCAAACTGTAATAAACCGGGGGTGGAGTGGGAAGGTATAGAGAGGTGCGGACATGACCAAAACCACTTAGTAAACATGAAGCGTTAGTACATCTCTTTTATTCAGGTACTTCCCACAAACGTCTAGGCTCTGATGAGGCTGTCAAGAACTGGGAATGACGTGAAGGGAAAATAAGCCAAAGCCGGCCAGATCCTGTCTCCCTTTATTTTTATTTTTTTATTTTATTGGCGTGGTCTGGCTTTCAAAGATTCAGACCCTGCATCTCAGGCTCCCAAACTAGTTTATTGCTGCTGTATCCCAGGGTGAAAATTACCTCAATCAGGAGAAAGGAGAGTGTATTTGCCTTACATTTCCTTAAGACAGAGGAAGGCTCAGAGTAACGTCCGTATCCTTCTCTGAGGCGGTCGCCATCATCAGCCTTAACAATGTTTTTTTTGAATATAAGTGATCTCATGAAGCAGAAAAACGTATTGTCCTTTTTGTAGTTAGTAAGTAATAACTGGCAAAATAACATGGAGAATTTAGGCTGCAGGTGAATGAATATTAAGAGGAAATTAAGTTTGATGGCCTAGAAATGAATCTCTAAATAGAGATTCATTTAATTATTCATCGTGTCCAAAACGGTTTATCTTTCTATTTGTTGGGAATCTCTTTAAAAGAACTAACAAAGTTGCATGAAAATGTACAAAAATCCTTTTTAGGAAAACTATTTTTTAAAAAAGCAAGTTCCCTAGACCTTGGGAGAGCTCGAAGTCCAAGGAGAAAGAGTCAAATACTTAAATAATACTTAAATAACTTTCTTTTGGCTCATAGTTCTTTACTCTTGACAGAGAGCAGATGTAATATGAAAAAGAAAAATTGTTTTAAAATTTCATTTGGTTTGTTTGCTTTTATTATTCAGACTTTCTTCATCCTTTATTAGAAAAATAAATCCCTGAAGTTCAGAATCAGCGCTTGTTTTCTCTTGTGTAATTACTGAGAATAACTAAAGAACAGTACATTTGCCTCATTTAGCTTCAAAACTTTGGGTAATAGTACATTTGGATTCTAAGTTTGGGATTGACCAATACCTTTGATATTTACTTTAAAAGATATTCTTTTATGTTTATCTTTCATTTTTCCCACATTTTAGTATTTGTCAAATTCTTGTCTTTTTCTGCTAGAAAAGTACTCAAACTATATTGTTTCCCAGTTTTTTCTCTTTAAAAACAAAAGAAATTTGGTTTGTTGTAAAGTTTCTCTTTCACAAAGTGAATTAATAAATGGATTTAAGTTACTTTTGAGTTTAGAAAATTACTCCCGACAGTAGTTGTGTATCTGTTTATTCCTGAAATTTAGAACTGAGTAATAGCAAACTGTAGTTCCTCTGGTGGAGTAGGAAACTAAATTTCCAAGGCAGCTTTTAGTGATTCTCTATATTCTATTATCTTCCTTGGTTTTCTCTCTTTCACTGGCCTCTCTGGCCTCCCCATCCTAAATGTAGGCTTGACTTGCTGCTGTTTTTCAGGTGTTGAATGTTTCAGTAGATATTCTAATAATTCAGCTTTTTCACTCTGGGAAACCAATTTACACTGATCTTCATCTCACTGTCTCCCTTTCTGCCAAGTATAACCTCCTTAACAATTTAACTTGAAAGTTTCAAATCATTAAACCTACCTCTTGCTTAACGATTTTAATTTGTCTCGGACGTGCTTCTGTTAAGTGAAAAACCATTAAATGAAAAAAATATTTCCATGAATTTGAATTGGAAAAATTGTGAATTCCATTTTATCCCAAGATACCCACTTTCACAGATAGAAAAATGATTGAGCAATAAAAACAAGTTTCTGTAAGTAACAGCAGTTTGAAAGTCAACAGCTTCAATATAAACTCTAAGATGATGAATGTTTGCTTTGCTTTTTCTTTCTGAAGCATTTAAAGAAACTGAGATATAACTGATGAATCAGACAATTTATCCATTTAAAGTGTACAATTCAGTGCTTTGTAAAGTATATTTTGAGTTGCACCATTTTGGAAAACCAATTTTTTCAAGCTTTTTTGGTCTCCTGGTCTTGCATGCAAACTGCACTTAAAAAAGTTTTAACATAGAAAACTTCCTTAGACAAAGTAAAAACTAAACCTGAGAGGGCTTCAAAAGACATGCCAGCACATTTACAAAACGGATTGAAGACTTCTAAAAGATGTTACCTCTTCAGATTTGGTCCAGTCTCTAGCACGATTCAGGTTGGTTTCATGTGATACTATCTGATGGGAAGCTTATGTCCAGTAAACCAGAGGGTAGGTCTCTACCTGACCCTGTGATGTTAAATTTATTTAGTGTGTTTGGGTTAATAGATTGTTATTTTTAATAAGTAATTGTTGATAAACGTTGGTACAGTTTTTTCAAGAGCCTACTGCAAAGCTGATTGAATAGTTGCCGTGTGAGCTAAGTGTAATTTTAACAGCTTTATATGAATTCACATGTTGGTGTTTTCCATGTTTTTTGAAAAGTGACAATAAATCATGGGAATAGGATTCCCATAATTTAAATGGCATTTCATCAGAGAGGGAAAGAGTGATTTGTTAACTTTCATACCCAGTGTTAGGGGACTTCAAAAGACACCCTTTTATTCCGTAGAAAAAGGAAAGAAGGATAAAAAATATAATTTAATTTTTTGGTTTTGGAAAAACTAAGTAGTTGATAAAGTTAGAACATGTAGCTTTCATTTTAAAATTATGAGAAGATAAAAGCACACATTCATGTAGCAAAAGACAAATGATAAAAACTAGAAAACAGTAAGTCCCAAACTAGAAATTCTGAATATGCATATATCCATTAACCAGTATAACTGTGAAATGAGAGCACAGCAGTACAACCCCAGGTTGACATGTCAGCACACAATTAGGCACACGGCACTGCAACGAAGAAGGTCTTATTTTCCCAGAGAAGCAGGCTGAGACTAAGAAATTAGCTTGCAATGTTATGTTTTTTATGTCCGAAATTAAAAGAAATCTCAATTGATATCAATTTTTTGCTGTTGGCATCAACTGAAAGCATTATGTGGACTTTTTTTCTGTCCTGATACAAAATTTAAATTGCTTATAAAATGTTTTAGAACCCATCAAGATGAATATAGAAACAATGTTAAAATATAGTTTGTATAATGGAACATTATTGCAATGCTAGAATTACTTGTTGGTTATTTTCCTTATTGAAAACAGACACAAAACATGGTGAAAAGCAGATTAATATTAAAAGCAAACTTTTTTGGAAACCTGAAAGCCAGGGTTGCCAATACGTAAATTAGTATCTATGTTAAAGCTTCCAACACATAGAAATAATAAGGCAAGGAAAGATTTGTGTGTTCTTTCCACATCATACTCACAGACCCACCCAAAGACTATTTTTAATTCTCGAGGGGGTGTGTCTTTCTTTGATTTTCTCCTTAGTTTGATGAGGACGCAGACTCTGTGAGGTTTTGGCTTTATTGCCCCCAAGAACATTAACCAGTAACAATCAGTTTTGTTATCTTTATTCCCAAATTCTTTTGTCATTGCCCATAAATACTCAGTTCCTCAAATGCTCTTTTACCACCCTGGTTAACAGTTATTTTATTTATTTATTTATTTATTTATTTATTTATTTATTTTTGAGACAGAGTCTTCACTACGTTGCCCTCAGTAGAGTGCTGTGCCGTCACATCTCACAGCCTCAAACTCCTGGGCTTAAGCGAGTCTCTTGCCTCAGCCTCCCAAGCAGCTGGGACTATAGGCGCCTGCCACAGTGTCAGGCTATATTTTGATTGCAGTTGTCATTGTTGTTTAGCAGGCCTAGGCTGAGCTCAAACCCGCCATGTTTGGTGTATGTGGCCAGCACCCTACTCACTGAGCCACGGACGCCGAGCTGCTGGTTAACAGTTTTTCTTTAACAGAGTTAAACATTTTTCATATTTTCATTTTTTTTCTCGTAAGAGTCCTGCTTTGAAACAAAAAAAGTTTTGACATCACTATTGAAAAAACAACAAAAAACCTTAAACAGAGCTTAGCATTTTATATAGTCATGTTTTATCTAGCAGGAATAAAAACTAAGGCTAAAAAGTTTATATTTTTTCTGTTGCCTATTTCTTTAAAATATATAAAAATTCTGGTTTGGATTGTGCAGAGGTTTAATTGAGCTCCAGCTCAAGAAAAAGCCTTCACCTTCAATTAAAACCCATGTAAAAAGCACTCCTTTTAAAAGTACCAAACTGCAGAAAAAGTAAAAAGCACACGTTCCCTTGTATTCTCTCACTTTTAGG